GAACATAGATGTCAACACTTAGAGGCGACAGTCTGTTTCATACTAGGCCATATATATATATATATATATATATATATATATTATATTGACTTAATGTCTACATTTATTTTTTACACACATACGTTCTATCCCTGATATCGAGCACTTTAACCCATAAATATAACATACATTAAGAATACACACACACACACACACACACACATATATATATATATATATATATATATATATATATATATATATATATAAAAAACCATCCTGAAGATTGCTCATGTGAGCGGAAAGCTTAGATCAAGGAACAGCATAAAAATATATCCAAATGTTGGAAAAGTTTTGTCTTTGTTTTCTCCCTGAAATTAAAGCAACTATACGAAGTTTAGAACGGCTCATAAACATAATAGGCATTCGTTGTCTGTTATATTTAACAATATATATATATATATATATATATATATATATATATATATATATTTTATTTATTTAAATCTCTCTCTCTCTCTTTCTGTATATATATATATATATATATATATATATATTATATATATATATATATATTTCGAATTCCTGAATTCCATTATTTCGATTTTAACATTCTGGCAAAGATCATCTCTCAAAGATAAAGAATTTTGAGTAAAATTTAATTCGGCAGGTTGACTGACCAAATGTCAGTCAACCTGCTTTTAAAAATGCTTATCTTTGACACAATTTATTTACCTTTAATCCTAACAACCCCCCAAAGAAACGGTATGTTTGGTCTCTTCTAAAATGAGTGGCAGTTTGAAAATGTCGTTTGCACTATGTAGGGACATGCTCATTCCCAAAACAAAACCTTCTAGGATAAATTAAGAATAAAATAGAAAGAAAAAAAAAGCAGACTAAGAAAGGGGAAAATAAGAGATAAAGAGAATGGAAGAAAGATAGAGAGAGGGGATGAGAAAAGAAAGAAGAGAGGAAAAGTCAATTGAATGTGTGAAGAGAGTGACATACAAATGATAAAATATAGATAGATAGAGAGTGTACGTGTGCATGACAATAAGATAGCTTATCCTTATCAAGCTTTAAAAGAAATGATAAAATTCAGTAAGCGAAGGCTACAAATGACGAACATGGAAGAATAATGGGTAAAAGTGAAGTGTTTTCCTCTGAAAGTTTTAAAGATAAAGAAGTTTAAAAAAGAAAAAAAAAGGAAAGAAAAAAAGTAATAGATGGAGAAAGTGTTACTGGTTTGCCAGTGTTGGTAGCGACCTACATCTGGAGTCAGTTAAGCCGAGACAAACTCTGTTGACAGGTGTAATAACATTGTGTCCCAAGGCGATTTCGGGTTGCTTCTACTTCTAAGGTGCGACACAGTCGGCTTTCAACCCGTGCGAATGAAACAACAGGTAAAAACCTGAGCCAAGACGAGTGGAAAAGTAACAAGTTTAGCTTTGACCCTCCAAAAAACAACCGGCTGATTCCAGCCTCGAGCTACCATTAGCCAAGGACCATACAAAAAATAACTTGCAGTAATAATATAATTTCTCGATTTACTTATATCTTTATCTTTTGTATTTCGAATGTGACCGGTGCAAACTGCTATTACTTCTGGTTGTAAGGTTGATACTATCACAACAACACTATTGTTAGCAGTAGCAGTAACAACGACGGCGACAACGGACTACCTGGTCTGGCATTACAGGTATTGCTTTGAGACGTCCATACCTAATCATACGTACGGTTAGCACGCATTCGATTGAATGAACTTGGACAGTTCAGGTAAGTCTACAATTAAAAATATTTCCGATTTTGTTGAAAATTTTTTTGTAAAATTTCGAGAAAACTTTTCTATCGACTTGAACACGGTAAAAAATATTTATAAGTGTAGTAAAGTTATGGCAGAAAGTAAAACATAAACCTGCTTCTAAAATCGAATGACTTTTTTTTTTTGGTTAGTTTAAATTCACCACAGTTGTCTCGGCGTGTTACTTCTTAATTGAATACGAGGCCAAAGGTTTTGATATCGAATTTCTGATAATGTTACCTAGGTAGAACTTCTGTAAAAATATTTATATTTATGTTGTCTTGCAATTTTATGTTGCTAAAACACGTTAAATTATCGTGATATGCCTAAATATATATGTAATCTGCCTCTTTTATATATATATATATATATATATATATATATATATATATATATATTAGTGCTTCTCTTAAATGACACATTGATTATAAAGATATATTATTATATATGCTTAGTCAGGTGAAACGTGTAAAAGCTGAATTGAACACAATATTTTGTCCTTTTCATACACATCCTTTTAAAAGGAACATCTTTTAGCGATCAAAATACGTTGCCCAGTAGTATTCCGCTTTATTAGATTGATTATACATACATATATATATATATATATATGTGTGTGTGTGTGTGTATGAAGTAGATACTGAGGTTACCACCGAGCGGTGACAGTCTGTTTTATGCTTTGACGCAAACTTGAAGACTGCCATTGGCGGTGACAGTCTGTTTCATTCTTGAACACAATCTTCATATATATATATATATATATATATATATGATCGATCTCTCTCACTCTCGCTCATTTATCCTATATAATTTCACACGCACATATATATAAAAGAGATTGCATGTTTGTGTGAGACACACACACACACACACACATATATATATATATATGTAAACTGTTTGTATATAATTCAAGTGAATCCTAATAATATCAAATATTAAAGGTCATCCACAAAGAGAGTACAATGTATTTGTTATATAACAGAGCATATATAAATAAATTACATAGAATCGAAATTGAAAATGACCTCATTTGGTTATACTATAGTTATTTCACACCACAAGAAGAATTTGCAATTTTTCAACACTCATAAGTCTTCTCGGTATTGAAAATCTTGCAAGTAAATTCTTTTTGTGGGAGTGAAATAACCATATCCAAATGTAATTTTGAATTTCGATTCTATGTAATTTATGTATGTGTGCAAAAAAAAAAAATCAGATAGAATATATTTGTAAAAGGACAATGCGAATAAACACAAAAGAAAAACCTATCTTAGCCGACACGTTTCGTCCTCTGCGTGAGTAAGATAAATTTTCCTTTTGTCTTTAATAACGCACACACATACACATTCTAACACGATTTCTCGAATATTGAGGCCGGTAGATGTAAATATACTGTTTAATAAATAAAATTATATATATTGTTTCAGTGTGTGTGTGTGTGGGGGGTATTATTATGTAGTAGATCGGTGATGTACCATTTTTTTTTGTTGCGGTAGTAGAGTGTGGCTTGCTCGCCTACAGAAATATACGCATAAAATCATTGGTGTTTTAATTATGATGGTTTCGAGCTGAGGAATTATCATTTTAAGTAAAACTGCCGAAATAAGAATACAATTCCGAATGAAAATGCAAACAGTATTGCTTTATTTATTTGCGAATTTATAAACCTTAATAATTTCTCCAAGAATTCTATTATTACAACATTTCTTTTGAAAATCTATTCCTCTTCTTTTACTTGGAGCGTCGACTTTTGGAATAAAAAAAAACAAACTTTACTGTGGACAGAACCAGAATAAATTATTTGCGGATAAATATTTATACCAAATAGAATACAACTTTACTAATAGTTTGATTATCGGCTTATTTCTGGTGATTAAATGGCTTCTATAATATTTTTTTTTCTTATCTCCATAGTCACTAAAATATACATGGGAATAAGTTGAGTTGCGTCAGGGTAATGGGATTGTAGTGAAACTGCGGGGTTTTATTTGTTTGTTTTGTTAATATATTTTTTATTGTGATTTGTGTGAAGCATCGGCTACGCTGTAAGTAATTAGGTATTTTATATTTACTTAGTATACCTTGTTATGTTAACTGTTACAAAGATCAATTGGATTGAGTTAAGTTGTACTGATCAGCATTCGAATGCTGGCCTCTGGTACCGGGGAGAAATAAGTAATTATCTCGAACACAAAGCAAGAAAGCAAGCTGTAAGTTCGTAGATACCTACGTATCATACAGATTTTAGAAGCATAATAATACCCAGCTGCTTTGAAAATGCAATAAAAAATCAAAGTTCCCTCGTAACCATATGGATGAGTAAGATTCATTGTTTTTTCAAAGAGCATAAAAAGAATTACACCCACCATAGGTAGGATTTGTCGGGTGATTTGTCGGGTTTGAAAGCCTGGTTTCCGAGGAGTCGTCTTTTAAGCAGCACCGACCCAATTCCGTAGAAGAAGAAAAGAAGTAGCCTCAGGAAAATACTTTGATATTTGCAGAAAAAGCTGACGGGAGTAGACAATTTCTGAAACGCCCACCAATCGATAATGTGTAATGTCACGTCAAGAGGCCCGTAACCTATTAGGGTCGTAGGAGCACTGCATGTACTGCAGCCAAGGTAGCAGCCCATCCTTCTTCAGACTAGTTTTGAATTAAAAGTGAAGAGTGTAGTTTTAAAAGCTGAAAGACAGTTATCTGTATGGGAGTGACAATTAATTGTCACTAGTAAGCGTATGAATATGTTTTAACGTTTGTTCGTAACAACTAATAGATGATCACGGTTCATCTTGAGGAGCTAAATGGCACATTAACAAATAAATGAGAATTGTTAAAGAGTAAGTGGTTCAGAAATGACACAGGGGAGTGTCTCAGGAAACCTTTTCTTGAACTCGAAATATTATCACACATTTTAGTTAAATTGACTCCAAAATAAAAATAAAATGGTCTCCGATCGTATGACTTCACTCGGCTAATTCATGTGACAATAGCCTTGTAATGACAAAAGTACGCAGGTGTAGACTTTAAGAAAGCTTTATTCAACTGAGAATAGGAGGTGAGGGATAGTGTCCTTTTATATTCCCAGTAAACAGAAATAGCTCTCTCAGAGGAGAGACCACTCTTGATTATTAATAACAAGCATATTGGAGTTGGTTGCAGTAATTGTGAGTTCAGTCCCTGTATCGGTCAGTGTTTGCTTGGACTCCTCTATAGGTCTTATGGTCGTATCACGTTGAAACACCAGTTCTCGTCCCATCACCGAAGTTAAGCAACGTCGATCCCGGTCAGTATCTAGATAGGTGGCCGCTTGGGAATCCCAAGTGCTGTAAACTTGGATGTACGGGTGGTGTAATGGATAATGACCCGAAATTGGAAATCGGCGAGCAGAGTTCTAATCCCAGTTGGGTTCGTTATATTTATTTATGCTCAAATACCCTTGGGAAAGGTATGAATTCACCACTTCCCCAAACTATGGGTTAAATAGTAGGACTTGTATCAGTAAATCATTATCGCTAAAGAAATCTTAGTCAAAACGTATTTTCTCGCTTTAGATAATCTACAAATACTGATAAACCGTACAAAGTATAGACCAAACATTTTCTATAGATATAATCGATCGAACATTATAGAGTGAAATTTTCAAATCGAAATTAAGGTTTATAATTGTCTGCGTATTAATGTCCATAGAGTCGTTAGTTTTCAATCTGTGCCTGACGAAAAGGGCGAGGAGAGAGATTCTTAGCGTTTGATATGAAAATACTCATCAGTTATAAAAACAATCGGCTATTTAAGGCTAATCCTACTTAAGTGATTTGAATAAATAATAGAATTATGGCAATTAAAATATTTCGCTGAAACTGGCTGCAATTTGCTATAAAGCAGCGTATCCCCAAACTATTTAGGGTTCAAAAAAACAAAAAAATCTTGTAAAACTATTTATATCATAGTTTTGGTATAGAAAGAGACGCCGAAACGAGAATATAGTTGTGAATAATAAAGCATTGATAAATATGTCTTTATTAACCGGAATAGGCTTTGTACAAAATTTCAAAGCATGCCAAGGTAGACAGGTTCAGTTTAGACCTGAAGTGAAGCCCCGGCCGCCGAATGCAGCATCATGCAACGTCAGGTTTCGCAAGCGTGGGAAATACAAACATAAGAGTTATATAAACAATCGTTCCATGAAGGAGTTGTGCAGTCTGTTGAGATCGCAGACGAGGCCGATCATACGCAAAAGTAATTGACCAACTATTGGAGTAAAATAAGATGTGAAATAGGAAAGAGTCAAGTCTCGTTTTATTCCTGGCTTCGTTCACCCACTTCATTAAAAAATGTATGAAAACAGCTTCTGGCATATTCAAATCCGTGTTCAATAGTTTTACACTGGGGCGGCTAAAGCCTCACACAATCGTAGTTGTCGGAATACTGTAGAAAACCACGATCGACTTTTACACGAAGCCCGTAACAAATTAATAATTGTTGAGCTGAAAATCAAGGATTAGCCTGTAAAAACCAATGCTTAAAAAGCACGGTGGATAGCGGCTTGGATTGAGGAATCGGAGAGCCGAATTCGAATTCCAGTCAAATTCATTACATTCACTCACGTGCTAATAGCCTTGGGGAAGGATATGAATCCTTTTCTTCTCCACTGATATTTCCCCCCATGGGGGTAAATAGCAGGGCAGACTGGGTCTTATAGTGGCAACTGGTCTATGAGAAGGATAACTCTGGATTCAAAACCTGCGGAGGGTCGTTTGGGGAACCAGTTCTCTGTATTCGGCTCTTCAAAAAATTGCGGTTCTGCACGAGAACTGAATCGTTTGATCGATTATTTGAATTGTAAATTGTTTCAATGAAAATTAATCGAAAGGACAGTTATACTGAATCATAAGTATTCGAAATGCAAAATTCTTTATTGCAATAAAAATGTTAAAATTTAATGAGGAAAAAAAAAACAAATGATAATTATTCGAAATACAAATATCGTTAATAAAACAATTTAGTAAGAAAAAATCCTTAAGTTATATGATATTGCACGCAAATAGTCAACTACTGAAGAGTACTCATTAATGGATGCCACTAATGTTTTAAGTTTTCCATTTACGTCGTGGTATTTCTTGGCGTTCTTGATATTTTGGTAAACTGCTCTTACTTTTGCAATATGTATTTCTTGCTAGTCCTGTTCTCTCATACGTCGAAAAATAACAGGAAAGTCCAGTATATATATATATATATATAGTTAGGCAGCATATCTTCATTCAAACACGTTTCATTAAATAATATAGACATATGTCTATTTTTATAATAATCCTTTCTAGTTGTCTAATCAGTTTCTTGATGTTAAGATGAAAATCATCAAGGAATGCGCCGTAGTTTTTTCTAACCCAAGTACTTTCCATCTCCTTCAAGATCATCCTCAGGGGTAAATTACAAAGACAAATTTATTGTTTCTGCCATAAATCTGCATTCCGTTGTGATGGTAAATAAAAAACAAAACAAAAACAAAACAAAACAAAACAAAAACAAAAACACGCACGAACGCGCTCTATTATAATTATTTTAAATTTAGAATTTATCCGTTTCAATATAAGGGAGCTGACCGGGAATTGGTAGCAATGTAAAATGGCATTAAATGTTTGTTCAACATCTTGCTGCTACACTTGTAATAAACTTTGTTGAGTGTTGGTTGATTTTGATATAGATGGCCCCGAGAATTTATAAAGTTTATATTTTTTTATTTTCATGGTGTAGTATATTGATGTTGTCAACAAGTATTTTCCTGTATAGTGATGGCGGATAGGAATGTGTTTTTAAATGTTGTACAATAGAACTTGTATCTGACAAATGAATTGTAAGACGTCGTGATAATACAGGGTATTAATAAAGTTCGTATGCAATTTAGATTTATAAATTATTTAAAATGCACACAAACTTTATGGACACCCTGTATTGTTGTCGTCAAACCAACATATGCACTTTATTGTCAGCGATGCCATCCCTCAAAGTATATTTCAAACTGATATACAATTTTGTTCTTTTCCAAAACACTAGTTGACGGAAAAGTTTAATATATAATTAATTTTATTTATATATATTTCTATAGGACTCATGGATTTACTTTTAATCCGGAATTTTTATTATTTCAAACGTTATTATAGTGGACACTTCGTATTTGAAATACACGCCCTATTTTGATTCATGAAACACTGTATATCACATCTTTCGGCATGCATATAAGATTCTGTTCTCCGGCAGGGATCGAACTTGCTTCCCCCTTTGTAGGGGGAAAACATTATTTGATCCGGTGTGCTTTACCGCTCGGTTACGACGTCTATTTAAAATACGAAGTGTTCGCCATAATAACGTTTGAAGTAATGAGAATGTCGAATTAAAATAAATCCATTAATTTAAAAAAAATGTTTTGTTTACGTTTTTGATATGAAACTGAGCAGGTATGGACTTTCGAAAAAATAATCTAATTGAAAAGGATGTGCTTTCCTTAAAAAGGGAAAATAGAACCTTGCTTGCTGTGAAGGTCTTCGTGGCCCATGGGGAAAAGCATGCCGAATTAAATGGTAGTTTTCCCTATAAAGGTGGGACGCGGGTTAGATCGCTACCAGAAAACACATTTTTTCTTTACTAAGATATTTTGAATGCGCAAGCCGATAAACATAATATCGACTATTTAATAAATAAAAATATGAAGTTTCCACCTTTTTAATAACTTCTGAATTTACGTGTGTATATATGTATGTATGTATGTGTGTATGTATATATATATATATATGTGTTTCCGCACAAATACTTTTAGCGAAAGGTATGAATCTATCTCTTCTGTCCATCCCCGTATGCTATGGGTTAACTATCAAGAGAAAATGGGCTCTCTTTCTTTGAAGTGGTAACGTATCTAGAAGATGAAAAAACCTGTCCGAAAAGAGATTTGGCTCCATCTGGCTACCTTGCCCTAGACGCACCCACTGCAGCTATGACTGCAGCACCCTATGACCCGATGTATTATGAGACAATTTGACGAAAAATATGTAAAGAAAGTGAAGATTAAAACGAATTTCATAGAGGGAAAATATTTGAATTCTTCTAGTTTAGAATCTTAGAATTGGATTCTTGGTCTGAGAACTCGGATGTAAAGTTGTTATTTGTTAACTTTTTTTTCTTATTGTCAAACAAACCGGTTACTAGTCTTTTATATGAAATTCGAAAAAAAAAAGTGAACATGTGTATTTGGTTTTCGGAGTCTTAATTTTTTTCTTTTTCCTAATAAAACTGCTTTTAAGTGTCTGATAAAAGTTGCTTCTTAATAACATGAATTTTCCTCGGTGTAGGCGTCTTAATAAAAGGGGAGATCGGAAAATATTTAAAGGGCCAAAAAGTGCGAAATTAATAAACGGGGATGTCTTAATGAGCTCGGAACCGTTACAAAATTTTCTCAAAAATCAAACATACAGCCAGGATCGGATTTAAGCCTTAAAAGGCCCTTGGCCTAATAGAATTTGAGGAACTCTTCATTACATATCCCCCCCACCACCGTATATACGCTATATCAAAACTTTGTATGTATATAAAAAAGATGCATCAAAATCTAAGAGTTCCCATCGAGGCGCCCAAATACTCTAAATTGTTTGAAAGTAGTTCAAAGGCGGCCCATTAAATCTGAAAACAGAAATTTCTTGGTTTTATATCTGCTTTTTAGTTTTATCAGAGGTCTAAGACAAGATGAACCTTAGAATTTTGGGGCTGCAGCCCATACCAGCATATATGCAAATTCGGCAGTGTATAACTTCACTGTTAGGCACTTAAAAGTATGTCAGTAATTTCAGTGGTCTATATTTATCTCGATTGACTAGTGTACAAATAATCTGTAGTATTATTTACGGCTTTGTTTCTATTTTCGACTCTGTCAGAATATTTTACAAGACTCATTTCAAAGACATTAGCATTTCTTGAGAATCAATTTAATCGATTCCCCAACGGTTTTTGTTTTATTATTCGCAAATCTGAAAAAAATTTCGAAAAGAATCTGTTCCCAAGGATTTCAGATAAGAAATTGTCTACTAAAAGAAGAAAAAAATTATCTGAATAAATTAAATCATTCTCCCTTCTAGTTCCATTACGCTTGCATTTAGCCAGCCAGTTTCCTTATCCAACTTAAAAAACAAAATAAAACTTTCGGCGAGTAAAACAGAACAAATATCTTAGAATATTTGAATTTAGACGAAACTCCCATAAGCATAATAATTGTTTTTTGTTAAATCAAGATAAACGTGTCATGAAGAAATCTACTGAGAAAGTGAAGTAAAATAAAATCAAACGT